GGGAGAGAGAGAGAGAGAGAGAGAGAGAAGGGGGGGCACGTGCTACTTCGTTTCTTCTTTGCCTTTTGCCTTCCAGGAAATGTTGCAAGATGAACGCCCGGCATTATGGCTCCCGTGTCAACGCTACTCCCGACAAGTCCCCCACGCGAAGAGTAACTGCCAAACAGATTGATTGCTGATTGTTTCATTCATACAATGCAGAACCTGCTTCACATCAGTGATCCTATAGTTGGAGGCGACTTCCAACAACTTCTCCGGGCCAATCATCAATGACATCATCGGAGCCCACCAAACTGAGACTCACCCACACGCGCATGCACTTGCGCACATAGAGTAGAAACTCGGCAAGTAAGCACGGGGCATGCATGCAAGATCGCTTTATCACAAACATATTCAGAGAACACAGCAAACAAAAGTCCGAATCTGAATCTTTAGCAAAAACATCAACGGGACAACGGACAGGATTTTCTCAGAAAAGTTCACAGTTCTTGCACAGCACAAAAAAAAAAACGATGCTGCAAAGGTAGCGGCTTCCCAAACTAAACACTCGCAGATAAAGGGAAAAAAAAGGTTCGGTGGTATTTCCTCCTATTTTCTTGCACGCGGATTTCTGTCTGCTCTCAGGCTCTTCTTTTTGTTATTGTGAAAGAAGTGGCATATGATAGGGCAGTTCCTTATGCTTTTTCTTTCTTTTGTGCTTTTTAGTTTTCTGTTTTTGCGTGCGAAGCCGCAACGTGTCATCTTGTACAACATACCTCACCCTCCTTGCACTTGGTAATACCTCAACGGCCTCATCCTCCTTCACCACCGCGTGACCCAAACGCATCTCCCTCCTTGCCATCTCTACAGCGAAGACATTTCAGCGCGCGGTCTCTTTCCTCCAAGCGCAGGATACCCGCAAACATCGGTGATGATGCCGCTGCCACCGCCCGCCGCCGTCCAGGACATCAAGCGTGAAATACAAACAATGCTTCGACAACAACTCAAGGACTCTTCTTTGCCGCTTTCCTCATGTACATATATTTTCCCCTCTTTGTGATTGTTCGAGCGAGCGAGCGAGCGAGAGAGAGAGAGAGAGAGAGAGAGAGAGAGAGAGAGAGAGAGAGAGAGAGAGAGAGAGAGAGAGAGAGCATTTGTACATATCTTTTCCCCTCTTTGTGATTGTGCGAGAGAGAGAGAGAGAGAGAGAGAGAGAGAGAGAGAGAGAGAGAGAGAGAGAGAGAGAGAGAGAGAGAGAGAGAGAGAGAGAGAGAGAGAGAGAGAGCATTTGGACATGGAAACATCCCTTACATAGTCCCACATTGTTCTCAAGCCTTCATCGTTTCTGGAGCTCCTTGTCTGCTCTTTGACAGTGCAAACATATCGCAATTTGAAATATCGCCATGTCCCTGTCAGTCCCATTGGCCTCTGCTCGCCTGTTCCTCCCGCTGCCGCGGACGGAGCCGAGGCAGGTGCACTTGTAGATATAAAAGTCAAAAGTAGGCAAAAATAAGACAGGGAATAGCCCGATCATAGTCAGAGTCTGCAGAAGTCAGATTTGGCTAATTGTGAGTTCCTTGCACATTCGGTCAACGATACCAGGCGTCCTCTAACCATTATTGGTGATAGGGATGCTAGATTTAAATCGGAACATGGCAGCAGTTAATGAAGGTGTAGTATGGATCTTAGGTAGTTGACGATGTCATCAGGTAGGCACCCAGAAACCACTGTTCAAATTAAGCAAACGCACAACTGTTGCAGCAGACTCTCATCTTTTCTATTAGACCCGATCAGATAGACTGGGGTGGGATTAACACTTTGTTAAACCACCAGTACATATGGAGAATCACGAATGCGCCTCTCCAAACAGTTCAGGGACTCGGGACAGGGCCTGCGGGCAGACAGGCGGATGTTTTTTTTTTTTTTTTGGTTAGCGCTATGCTGGGTCCCATCCCAAGGCATGGGACAATTCTTTTTTTGCGGACCCACCCTTCGGGGGCCCTATCCCTAGCCTCCGAAATTTTAGGAGAAGCTAAATTGCAATTCTCAACTTGGCTGGGCCGCTGGGGCCACGTACCTACAGGCGGGCCCTCTCCAGAGGCCCAACTTTAAGGTAGCCAGTGGGTATGATTCAAACCACCTGCAGTGTGATGTGTTTATTCTCTTCTTGTCCAGTCTAACGTTGTTGGTTTCTCTGCTGCAGTGTGATGTGGGTTTTCCTCGTCTTCTCCACTCTGACGTGGTTGGTTTCTGTGTTCTTATGATGCCATGTTGGCTTGTCTGACAGGTCCCACCCGGCATCGAGAGGGAGCGTGGGGCTTTGGGAGGGGGGGGGGGGGGTTGATAACACCTGGCCCTTAGTTTTGTTTGGGGGGGCCCGGCAATGAGAGGGGGGGGGGGGCTTTGGGGGGGGGGGGGGTGATAACATCTTGCCACGTACTTTGTTTTGGGCAAGATGGCGTTTCAATCAGCGAGGAACAGAGAAGGTTCATGAGATGGCGGAGTTTAACTAACCGCGGTCCCCACAGAGCAGTTGTGTCTGACATCATCTGTCTCTCTTATCACCTGCACGTGTTGTCAGATGTAGCGGGGAAGGGGTTCTGCAGCGCATCCGGGTCTTTGTTGTGCTGCTGCTGGTGCTCTATCCTCGTGATCAGAGCAAGACAAAGGGCTCTAAGGTGGCGCATCGAAGGAGGTCAAGCGGCTTGCCTGCTGACATGGCATTCTGCTTGTCGGGACCCGGATCGGATGTCGGGATGGGAGCCGGCAGACCCCTAGGGGCTCAGGCAGGGCAAGAGTCGGTTCCCGGTAGCATTCCCGGAGTCAAGCGGGTTGCCTCCGCGCAAAGATTGGAAGTCGGGGTTGGGAACGGCGGGTCGGCCGCTTTTTCTTCTCGCGGTGCGTTTATTTTGCTCGAAGGTCTGGACAGGAGCGGGAAGACGTCGCAATGTGAGCGATTGCTGGCATTCCTCACAGACCGCCAGATCCCGGCCGAGATATGGCGGTATCCCGACCGTCGGACGACCGTGGGCAAGATGATCTCATCCTATCTGAGCAAGAAGAGCGAGCTCGATGATGCGACGATACACTTACTGTTTGCTGCCAATCGGTGGGAGAAGAGAGAGGAGATGGAGGCGAGATTGCGGAGCGGCTGCACATTGATCGTCGACAGGTATTCGTTCTCGGGGATAGCCTTTTCTGCGGCCAAGGGTCTGGATCTGGACTGGTGCAAGGCGCCGGAGGTGGGACTAATTGCCCCCGACGCAATCTTCTATCTGCAGATTCCGCCAGAGATAGCGGCAGGAAGAGGGCAGTACGGAGAAGAGAGGTATGAGAGGTTGTCTTTCCAGAAGCTCGTGGCCAAGCAGTTTGAAAACCTGATGAATGATGATGGCAGGTGGCATGTCATCGATGCGCAGAAGGGGATTGACGAGATTCAGAGACATATCCAGGAACTTTCCTTGCCGGTCATTGAGAGATGTCATCAAGGAGCCCCTCTCCTGGATATGCGGTAAACAGACTACCGGTAGGCCAATCGCCATCCATGGCCGTCACGAAGTGCCAGGTTGATCCCACCGTCCCACCGCTCAGTACGAGATTAGTCACGCTGTGCAGTGCTAAGTACCAGGTTGGTCCCACGTCTCCCTCACCAAGTTTGTTCCACGGCCTGCCGCTGTGGGCCTGTGTCTGCAACGCTTCCTGCCTGGCGATGACAAGGATATTCGTCCGGTCGCGTCGAGGTGCCCAAGCCCCCCCAAGTCCCAGGCCTCAAGCTGCGTCTAGCCTCAAGCCGCCCGGAGCCCTGGGCATCAGTACCATCATGGTGCCACCTAGCTGTGGGGCCAAGGACCCACTGGCAGTCCCAGTGTGCAGCCAAGGGGGACCAACTGGTAATTCCAGGGATTTGGTGTCAAGGAGGGACCGGTAGTCCCAGGGATCTGATGGCCAAGGACCTCTACCTGGAGTCCCAGGGATCTTTTTCCAAGGACCTACCGGCAGTCCCAAGGGCCTGGTTCGGCCCCTAGGTCCTAGGCCCGGACCTAGCGTAATGGAATTGGTGGTTCCACAGGGACCTGATGGTGCGGACCGAGTCCCAAGGCCCTGGTGCGCAGGGCCTGGTCACACTGCCCCTGCTGGGATCCTCTAGTTTAAGTTATGGACATTCATTTTCTGTTCAGTAATGTCCGGAGGTGGGGGTTAGACTGGGGGGCACAGTACTTGTTTGCGTCAATGTTATAGGCACGGACAGGAAGGTTACGTGTTGAGACGGCTTCGATCCTTCCTGGGGGTGAGTTGTGCGCACCGTACATGTATATCTGTCCTTGTTTGATTCAGAGGGATACAAGTCTTTTTTTTTTTTTTTTTTTTTTTTTTTTTTTTTTTTTTTTTTTTTTTTTAAGAGGGACAAAATTGGAAAGACAAGGGATAGCGTTAAAATTCTCATAATTTCAATCAATAATTTCATCAATAATGGCTCCACAGGCAAGAAGAGGCCTGAAGAAGAAGAGGAAGGAGGGGGGGGAGTAGCAGTACTACGAGGAGGGGGATTTTGAAGGGGCTATGTGAGGTGTGTGCGTACGCGCATCACAACTCTCTTAATTTCATCAATAATGGCTCCACAGGCAGGAAGAGGCCTGAAGAAGAAGAAGAGTGGCAAGCAGCAGCAGCAGCAGCAGCAGAAGAAGAAGAAGATGGAGAAGAAAAAGAAGAAGAGGAAGGAGAAGAACAAGTGGAGGAGGGGGAGGAGGAGGAGGACGGTTTTGGGGGTATGAATGTGGGGGGGCCTGCTTTTTCTTTTGTATGTGTGTGTGCTCTCATTTTTCAAATGGAGAAGCCCCATTTCTGTGATGAGTGTAGATTCGTGGTTGTTGTTTTGCAGAATCTGCCCTTGCTCGGTATAACAGACGATAGCGTTATGCTTACTTGCAATACTACCAAGTCCGATGGGAGGCTGGGAAAAGAAGCAGAACAAACTTCTCACTTCCTGTCCTCGTCCGCTCATTCACATTGGCCATTAAAATCTTTCAAGCACTTAAAGTACTCGTTGTCAGTTGTCCCATGCCGTGCTCATCCGAGGCCTCAGCGTGCTCTTCGTACTGTTCTCGTGCTTTTGCTTATCTAGGTCCTCAGCATGCTCTTTGCGGTGTTCTAATCTCTCTCTCTCTCTCTCTCTCTCTCTCTCTCTCTCTCTCTCTCTCTCTCTCTCTCTCTCTCTCTCTC